ACTATGACAGCAGGTTAACAAAGGAATTAGCCTGCACCTGCACTCAGTCAGCTGGCCAGAAGAAGGCAGGGCCCTGGGCGCACGTAAGCCCCAGGGCTGAGACCAGCAGGAGTTAGTTCTCTAGCAGCAGCCAAGGGGAAGGAGCCTCCAGGCATGAATTGCCCAGAGATGCTGTGGCTGCCTGATAAGCTGCATATAGGGCTAATGGGGCTCCAGGAACTCACCAGGTACCCTGGCCTACAAGGCACTTAGTGCTAGTTGGGGAAGTTTGACTCTTTTCAAGGGACAGAGCACACCTTGAACTGCTTCTATTATGTTATAGCCCAGGGGCTCATATTTTGGTTACTGTTTATAAACTGGTAGACCAGGCTGAGGCTATTGGGGAAGGAGGCAGCCTCATTGGGAGCCCACTACAGTGTGGAGAGCCCAGCGTCACTGTGGGTGCAGAGACAGGGCTGCGGAGAGCCCAGTGATGGCAGGAGGCCAAGCTATAGCAAGGCCCCAGAGAGGTAACATTTAAATACCATCTGCGAGGCTTGGGGCCTAGTAAAGGGGTGGTTTTGGAGCCACGCATCTAGCTCATAAGGCTGAGGATGTCACATGAGGCAACCATTTTGAGCAAGACCCAAAAGGGGTCCAAGAACCCACAGGGTTCAGTGGGGTCCATCAGGACTGTGTCCAAACACAAATTCAGGGGCAGCCTCCCTATTTATTATAATTACCAACAAGATGTGGCAGGTAAGGAAAAGGGTGCCCATTGGGCAAGATTGGCATGGTCACAGAGCCCTAGGGGCATCATGGCCATCCCTGGGGATCCCATCGTGTGACATTCGGGGACTGTGGTACTGGTCTGGAACAAAATAGCAGACTAGGCAGACAACCAGTCTGATTTATTTTGGCACCTCTTACTATCCTGTAGGTAAAATAGCAGTATATTGTACTGTTGCTGTTGTGTATTGTGAACAGCTTCCTTAGTACTGGTTCACATCATTCTTAGCAATTCTAAACTACAATGTAGAGAGGACTCACTTTTTCCTATGTTGACAGCAAAGAACTGCATCACTGCAATAACCATTTTTAGAGATGTCTTATGAGCTTCTTAAAGACTAATGCTCTCTTATGTTCTTTGTGAGGATAAGAACATTTAAATCAATGTATACTGTTAGATACCACTCATTTTCTTGTCTCTCGTTCTTTTCCTTCCCACTTTCTGCACTCTATTTTTCCCAGGTAGTTCATTGTCATAATCTACCACCCTTAAGGAAAATAATCCAATTGGTTTCAAGGACTTGATTAGAAAGGACTTCTTCATTTTTTCATTAGGCTTCCACTAACACATCTAAAACAAGTACCAGGCATTAAGAAGAAGTGGCCAAACACTGAAAACTTGTCAATGCAACGCAAGAGCAAAATTCTGAAAGATAATTGGCTTTGTATCCACTCATATTAAAGCAGTAAATCAAGAAGAATAAAAAGTCTAATTGCACTCATACAGATCGTTTTACTAAAAGCCAGTATCTAATAATGGTGGTGAACACACAGCAGGGACACTTGAATGAAGCAATGTAAAATATCTCTATATTCTTCATCTTTAAAGAGGCCTTTGACACCAAATATTATTCATGTTGAGGAAGCAGTCCTCTGACAGGTTTTGCCTCCAATAAACAAGTCATTGAGGAGTAGGCTGCCTAGTAAGCATTTGTCACAACATTCACATTCTGCCTAATTATTAATAGAAAGTGTATTTTTCTCTTGTTTTTCTATACTAATTAATGCTCAGTGTTCTAAGACTTTCACTTGACAATAAGAATTTCAAGCAAGTTGGCAGTTTGAATGCCTAACATAATCAGAATGACTTTGGAGGGCTATGTTACATTCTAGGTTGATATGTACTGTAGGAGTATACCGTTTATAAAAGTGATGCTGGACTTTTACAGTTACTTCCCAATTTAGCCACAGGATATTTTTCTTTCCTTTGCACATTTGTTATGTGGATCTGTGATGGCGGAACAAATGTGTTTCTATAAACTAAAGGCAATGACATATACATGTCTTATTCTGGAAGTGTAACTTAAAACGGTTGCATGAATACTCGTTTTCATAGGAACCTTAATAAAAATCTACATTAAATTACAACACATGACTTTGGAATTAACCTTTGACTGGCTTCCCTTGTTCATACTGTAATTAGTACAAATGCCAGGATGTAGAATAGCTTAATATTGTTATACATGATATTAATGATTTCATTTTTTATGATCAAGGAATATTTTTCTCAGGTCATTCTTTGTTACAGGCTTGTATGAATATAATTGTAAGTTCCCACGAAGTAGGCTATATTAATATTTTAAATATCTGGTATCTACTTGGAAAATGTTTACGCATCCTTAAAAATGCTTGCAACATCTACCCACAACTTTTTTTAAGATGAAAAATCCCACCCACTTCCCCTTCTCAGTGAAGGTTTAGGATATTGCAAGTATCAGAGGGCTAACTGTCATTGTATTCTACTGAAAAACCTGACATTTGGAATGCACATAGTCTGTGATTAGTTAGTAGTTAGTGGTGTTTGAGAAGGTTGACACACTATTTTGAGAATAGTCAATTAAGGTTAGTGACAGTAACCTACCACAAGGATAGGTCACAGGCAGGATACTTCAGCACCTTGGAGGATCTATCCAGTCCCTTCTTTTGGCCTCTGCTTATTTTGTCTCTCTCCTCAATGATGCAGTTGAAGTCTCCTGCAATCACCACCAGCTGTTTGCTGGGCATTGCCACAGTCTTGTTTTGTAGAAAGATGCATCTCACTTTTCTGTTAGTGCATATACATTTAGAATGCCCAGCCCAATGAACTACATGGTAAACTGTAAGACTTTTGACTTTGGACTAATGCCATGCATAGTTTGTACCCCAGCAAGAAGGGAGAGAGGCAGGACTTAAAAAGTGCAGACTCATAACGCTCCTGAAATTTGACTACAAACTGAAGGCCAAAGTCTTGGTTGAGTGTTTTAAGTCTGTCATAGGTGCACCTATCCACAAAGACCAGTCATGTGTGGTGCCAGGGAAACAAATCCATGGAGCCCTACTGCAGCTGTGAGACACGTTATAGTACCAATGGTAGAGATGGCAGAACACTGCTACACTGAGCCTCAGCCTAGACCTCAATGAGGCCCCAGCAACCCTGATGAACCATTGTAAGATGCAGGAGGTTGTAAGAGCAAAAGACATCTTGTTGCCCATGTGTAGTAGAGAGCCCCAGGCTCTCTGTTACTTACGGAGGGAAGCAACCTAGCAAGTGAGCTCTGGAGGCAGGCAGGGTGCCACAGCTGCAGTTTGCTAGGGTGACCAGCTAACGAGGTAATTCACCAGCACCTGCAGCTTTTCAGATTACTGGATGCAGGCAGCACCAGGGGAGCATTTAAGCCCAGAGCTGGGGCTAGCAGGGGCAGTCTCTCCCTGGTTACCACCAGGGAAGAAGCTCCTGCCCAGAGCAGCCCAAGATGCTGGGTTTGTAGAGGCTTATACTCTTAAAGGGGTGGAAGGCTGCTGCATGTGATTATTTATGTTCTAGCCCAGGGGCTTGTATTTATGTTGGGGAAAACTGGTGGTTTGTGGAAGAGGCTGTAGGGGAGGTGGAGACCTCATTGGTGTCAAGGGGGGCACTTGATCACCTTGAGCTCTAAGTGAGCCACAGAGGGCTAGGGGCCTAGTGCCAGTGCGGGCATATGCACAGAGGGGCCTGGGGCCCAGGAACCAGGGACTTGGTAACTTGTGAACAAACAAGGGAAGCTAGTGCCTTAAATCCAGGTCCTGTCCAGTGGGCCTAGGTTGGTAGGCCTAGCTAGATTGAAGGGGCAGAGGCCAAGGAGGCTGAGGCCCCAACAAAGGAACCTCCTACTGTTAACACCCATGAGGCATGGGGTGTGGTAAAGGGTAGGTTATGGAGTCATGCAATTAGCTCATAAGGCTTTGGGTGCCCAGCCAGGCACAGTAGATTATAGAGGCCCAGCCAGGGGCCTAAGACCGGTGGGACCGAGGACTAGCAAAGGTCCAGAGGGCAGCCTCCCTCTTAATTTATTATCCATCAAGGTATGGCAGGAGAGATAGGGAGAGTTTCCTAGGGGCGAAGCAGGGCATGGTCACAGAACCTCCAGGGGGCATCACAGCCACCCCTGGGACTCCAACTTGTTACACCATGGACCTACTACCTGATGATGATAGCTGCCAGGCCATGTGGAAGTGAATCTTCCACAAGGACATAGAAAAGGACCACAGAGACTTGAACTGGCATGTAGACCACTGGACGCTTCCTGTGTAGGCTTGGAAAAAGAGAGAGGGGCAGAGAGACTCACCAAACTGCTGCAGGCAAACCTGCCAGGAGAAAACAGGAACCAATTGACCACCTCCTCTGGTACCACCCATACACCAAGCGGGTATGGAGAAGAGTAATCTTACTTCTAATGATGGTGACCCTGAACAGAGAGGTGTGGTACTGTTTGGTTTGGTCATGTGACCAAGAAGCAGGGAACTCTGACATCCTGCTTCAACCAGTTTGTCTCCTGCTTCAGAAATGCCCTGTGGAAGACCAGGAACCTGCTAATGTACAGGCACCAACATTTTGGTTGAGGGCTGTATCAAAATGGGACTGAGTGAGATGCAGGGATATTACAAGAAGTCAGTAGACAATGTCAGGGAGGAGATGGCGGAGATCATATGGAAAAGAAAACACTGGCACAGATTGTTTTGAGTTGGGACAGCTGGTGAGGGCAGTAACGATGATGACAATGAGGATGATGGCAATGATTTTAGTGATGAGTGAAAGGACTGGGGAACTAGGCGGGGGAGTTGGAAGTGGGTGGAGGGAGAGGGAGATGGGAAGGAGATGCATAGGCAGTCCTTTGTGTGATTGTGATGGCTAAAGCTGAAGGTGACAGACATGTGGGTGTGCAAGCACATGGGAATGCAAGCATGCAGTATGGTCATTATAATGGGAATAAGGATGATATAACTGGAAATGTGTGTTTCAGTCCCATGATCAAAAAGGTGTTTTTCCCAGGGTAAGGCCTGAACCTTGCACTCTGGGCAGGATGACCCCCATGAGTTTCCCTAAATGTGGGAAACTTGACTGCACAGTTTTGTGTAAATGGGAGACCATGTTCTTGCTTTCTCTCTGGCTGCTTCTCAGCCTTTTGGCCAGGAGCAAGCCAGATTAGAGGGCATCTGAACTCCTAGGCCTCCTGGCTTGGGGCTTGCACATAGAATACTTGCCATGGATTTGGGGAATATCAGAAGCCCCAGACTGATGGGTTTGGGAGGGAGGTACTTGCCCATTGGGAGACACACACTGGGTGCCTATACATGTGCTCCGGGGTGGGGTGGATGTTTTAATTAGAATGGTATTTCCCCTGCCAGGTAAATCACATCTAGAGGTATCAAGTGGGATTCTCCATCTGTTGAAGTGTTCCCATAGAGATTGGATGCCTTTTGGAAGATACTTTTGTCAAATACATGTTACTGTATACATTACAAGAGTAAATGGATAGATGAATTTGCCCTGGCCATGGAAGGTCAGATTAAATAATCATATTGCCTATTCTCCATTTTATTTCATGATCACATTTACCATCTGATGTTATCCATCTTCCCAAGTAGTTACATTTATCAGCCTGCATTATCTGTTCCTTATCTACTTCGTTGTTGCATACAGGAATGATCTTTTTCTTTGTAATTACCATGTATTCTGTTTCTCAGCAGTTGATACTTAAAATTATTACTGCAAGGGAGAAGGGTCTATCTAAAATTTCTTGCAGCTTTTCTTTTGAATCAGCTGTTAAGACTGTGTCATCAGCATAACGCAAGTTGTTCAACTTCTGTCTGCCAATGATCAGCCCTGGTAAAACCTCAATTCCCCTCAGTACTTTCTCACTGTACAAGTTGAACAAGTCAGGTGAAAAGACAGAGCCTTATCTCAAGCCTCTCCATTTGGATGAAATCACCTAGTTCATTTTCTATTTTCACTGCTGCAGTTTGGTCCCAATAGAGGTTTCTCAAACTTCTCAAGTCTTTACCTCAGTATCCAGGTCTTCTAGTATTTTCATCAAATCCTTATTCTTGATTCTATCAAAATCTTTGCTATAATCAATAAAACACAAGAAAAGGTCTTTCCTCATTTCTATTGCCCTCTCCAAAAGAATCTATACCATGAAGATAGCATTTATTTTACCTTCACATTCAACTTTTGTAATATCCAGTCTTATTTTACTTCTAGCCCTCATCATCAGCACCTTTTATAGGATCTTTGTCACATGGCTCATTGAACTGATGGTTTGATGGAGTTCACATTCAATGGCTCCAGGTCCTTTGGGGAGCACAATAAAGATCAATCTACTGAGATCCTCAGGTATTTCTCCACTTTCATAAATCTCACTGATAACTGTTGTTACCTTTTCTATACCAAACTCTTTCAAACATTTTATTTGTTCTACTCCAATCTCATCTGACCCTGTAGCTTTATTGGTTTTCATTCGATTGATAACTGTTCATACTTTTGACTTAAGAATTTTCAAACTGTCCATGTTCTTAATAGATGGCTTTTCTTCTTGACTGTCATGGAATAACTCTTCAATATACTCTGTCCATCTTTTCAATACTTGTTCTCATTCCATGATTATATCACCATTCTTGGCTTTTATACATCCCCTAGCAGTACATCTTCCTTTGCCTGTGATGTCTCTGATATTCCTATACATTGATGTAACATCTTTATTCTTTTGTTTTTCTTTCTCTCAAGGATTTCTTCAGTCATCCATTTTTGTTTCTTTTGCCTTACTTTTGATGGAATAACCTCCTTGGTTGTTTCAGCTGGTGCTTGTTTAAAAAATTTCCCAGTTTGACACATTTCCTTCATCTTCAAGTTCTTAGAAAAAGGTTTTTGAGTGCAACCGTGTACTTTTCTTTAATCAGATCTTTTCCCATTAGAATTGAATAATCGGGTTTTTTCAGGTTTGGGTTCTTAAGTTTCCTCAACCTTACCTTGATGGTATATACTACATGTACATGATCACTTCCACAGTTAGCCCCTGGGTATGTTTTCGATTGTTGAACTGCATTGTTGAATCTTCTGTTGATGGTGATCTAATCAATTTGGTTGTAACATTATCTCCAGGACTTTTCCATGTATACCTTCTCTTGGGCGGTGTTCAAACCATCTGTTTATAATGATTTGAACATTTGCATCACACCAATCAATCCATCTGTCTCCTCTTTTTTTTCTCTCCAAGTTCATAAGGTCCAACGATATTATCCATTTGTTCACAACCAACTTTCACATTTAGATCTCCCATCACTATGACCACTTCTTGACGTTTGCATTGCTTTTTTGCTTTATCAAGGTCTTCGTAGAAACGATAAATGTCCTCTTCCCCACATTCAGCTCTCAGTGCATAGACTTGTATTGCAATGTTGAGACATTTAGTCTTTATTTTCACAAGCATCACTCTATCATAAAACCATGCAAACTTTTTGAGGTTTCTTTTCCTAATATCAACCCAATTTCTCTTTCATGCATCTGACCTGCTGAATAAATGATCTTCACATCTTCTGAAACAATAATTCCAGCGTATTTCCAATTTGTTTCTGGAAGATCTAGAATCTCTTCATTTCATGCTTGACATTATCCAATTTCTCAATTTTATGTGGAGTCCTCACATTCCATGTTGCCACTTTGACTGCTCTCTCCTGAGTGTGGACAGTAGCATGCTGATGGTCAGGAGAATAGGGATGGCAAAAGACGCATTTCTGAAAATGAAAAAGATATTGACAAATAGTAAAATTTCTTTAAGGACAAAGCTAAGAGTTTTGGTTTGTTATGTTATATCAGCCCTCATGTATGCTTCAGAATGCTGGGCAATGTCACCAAGTATAGACAGGAGAATTGAAGCAACTCAGATGTGGTTCTTAAGGCACATCTTGAAGGTATGTTGGGCAAGCCACACCTCAAATTAAAATATTTTGTCAAGAGCAGGCTGTGGCAGGCCACTAGGGGGTGCTCCTGCACTGAGCCACTCACCTCACTGCACCCAATCACCTTCCAGGCTCCAAGTACCTCCCTGGGAGTGCCTTGTGTCTGGCCAACCCCCTTCCTGGAGCACACCTGCTAGCCTGGGAGTAAAACTGCCATCACCCAGGGATGGGCTTGATCCTGTCTCTGAGCCCCTTGTGAAACATGGGCCTAGTAGCCCTTGAGTGTACTTGACTCACTTCAAGAACTTGGGATGCTTCCCTCAGTCGGAAGCACAAGTAGTGGTCTCCCTTAGTCATCCGAACCAAGAGGACCCCAAGGCATAATCTAGACCCACTCTCAATAAGTCTCTCATACTAGGTACAAAGGAGACCTTTATGGTTACAAGGGTTAGGGTTGGAATAGGGTACAGGGTACAGCAGTATCAGAGAAATCCCATAGAGCAAACTGGCATGGCTGGGTAGCCTCTGATCATGCATCTGAGTTACTGCAAGCTATATATCTAGTTAGATCTCAGGTGGCTTACTTACAAGTATCATTCAGAGGCAGGTGGAGATTCCCTCTGGAGGCAGGCAGTTCCTTGATCATGAATTTTGACAGAGAGAGAAAGTTTCAGATGGTCCAGTTCTTCTCTCTCTCTGAGTCTTCCTCATGGCTGCTTCCCCTCCTCCTAGGCAGTCCTTAACTTATATAGGCCTTATGACCTCATTTACCTGGTCCAATGGAGGCCAGCACCTGTTGGCTGTTAGCCAACCAATTTGAAATGCATCACTACTTGCTGGGCAGACTGACAGTCTCTAGCTCCCCAGGGAGCCCAAGCCCCTCACCCAGGTATGTGATCCAAATCATGTAGGAAGAGGGAGCAGATTTCCCCCCTCCCTCAGGAATGTATCCAGCTCAGGTTACCTAAAGAGAGAGGGTAAGGTGTGCATCCTCTGCTAGGCCCATCCTAACCAAATTGTCACAGAGCAGAGTTTTGGGGGAGAAACACAGGTAGCCTTCTGCCACAGGCTGCAGGAGGAAGCTGCTGATTAACATCAGAAAGAGATAGTTGGAATTTCTTAGACACATTATGAGGAACGAGGAAACTGAGAACTTGGTTGTAACTGGAGAGATTGAAGGAAGGAGAGATCATGGAAGACAGAGGTTGATTCTGACAAGAGTCTTGTGAGCGGCGTGGAAGATCTTATCCTCATCTCTCCTTTGTACTCACCTGCCACAACTTGGATTGTAAAGAAAAGAAAGGAGATCAGTGCTCTCTGATGTTCTGAGATAGATAAATGCCACCCTGATGTCAATTGCTCACAATGTTATTTTATTTTCTACTTAGTGCTGTAGATACAGTATCCTCACCAATTACTTCATTGGTGATGGTAGTCTGTGTTACAGTGGAGAAATCCCTGTGCTTGATACTCTGTAGATATTTTGTACAGGGTGGTTGCCGCTAATTGCCTCGTTAGCGTCATGCGCTCTCCATGTCTCTCATTCTCCTCAGGTGCTTGATACTCAGAGCAGTCTCCTACTGCTTTCTCTCTCTGTCTGTCTACCTATCTTCTGAATAGACAGTCCTGATGGGGTCTGGGCTTGGGGTTAGCTCCAACCCTCTCCTTTATCTGAGGGGTGCAATCCCTCCTTCTTTAAGTTACTGGCGGATCCGCCTCCCAGTGTCTCCATATCTCCCTGCACTCACCAGTGCAGCTGAGATTCTCAGGGAGGCAATCCCCTTCACGGCTGACATGCCGTGTGTCTTGAAGTTTTGCTCCTCCAGCGTCCTCCTATATGCAGGTATGACTTCTTCTTTCCTTTCAGGAATCTCTGCCACTCTTTCTCCATCTTCTGGTGCCCAAAGGCAATCAGTCTGTGTCCTGCCGCTGGTTCTATGCTGGTTTTGGTGGGCTAGTCACCCAATCTCATCTTGGGTGTGTAATTCCCTCCACCTGGCAGGGTTCATTGTTGGGTCAGTGTGGACTGACCTTGCCTAAGTAACAGAGCTCCTGCCCGGCTCCCTGTTACAGTTTACATGAATGAATTAATGTATTGACACTGGAGATTCTGTATGTCTCAAGAGAAGAGATCTGTGGAAGACCATGGTCACCAACATCCTGTTTGGATACGGTACCTAGAGAGAGATTGTCTCTTCTAGCTTTAAA